TAGACATCTTCTAGTTCGGATAAAATCAAGCGTAGATTTCTTTCAGGTACTCTTTTGGAAAAGTCAGGCGTAGACTCATTCCAATACCTCTTCTAGTTGAAGTCGGGCGTAGACATCTTCTGGTTCAGATAAAATCAAGCGTAGATTTATTCTGATATTCTTTTGGGAAAAGTCAGGCGTAGACTCATTCCAATACCTCTTCTATTTGAAGTCGGACGTAGACATCTTCTTGTTCAGATAAAATCGAGCAGATTATTCTGATTATTCTATTGGACAAAGTCAGGCGTAGACTCATTCCAAATACATCTTCTAAGACAAAGTCAGGCGTATACTTAGTCTAATTTTCTTATCAACAGTTATCTTGTATGGCATCTATAATCCCATCTTTGACGACTCTCCGTCACCTCTCCAAATGGAATCTCTAAGCTTATTCCTAGTATAATCAACCAACAGTGTTACTTTGTGCACAGACGAGTGCAAATTTCTAGGCACTTAAGTGTTCAATCATCTCCTACCTTCAAGTCACGAATGATGGACATGTCAATCTAACTCTTCACGCTTAAGAAGATTGAACAAGGGCAGCTGTTGTACCCCAAAATTTTCTCTCTCATTTTCAAATCAAATTATTTCAAGAGGTCTCCTCATCTTCCTAGGGTTTCTCAATTCCTCAAGATTACTCAAGGAATTGATCAGACAAGTCTTCTCCTAAGCAATTAGCCTACACCTAGGGTTTTACTTTTCTCAAAGGAAATTATAATTCTAATGCCTCAATGGTTTTTATGACTCTTCATATGTCCCTAAGAATGCTCATGTCAAGTTTCAATCCTTGCACCACAAGTTTCTCTAATCAATTGCCTAGATGATGGAAAATTAACTATATAGAGTAAAAAGTGAATTGTGGTCAACATGCAGTCAAACTTCAAGATTTTTTATCAACATCAATATTTTTAAGTGATATACATCATTTGATCAAGGTTTGATCATGATTCCTTAAGAAAATCTCTCAAATCATCAAAAGTCAAAAGTTGCCAAATTAGGGTTTCCTTAGAAGAAGTCAACTAAACTTTGACCAAGCATAACTTTCACATGCTTCATCAGTTTTTCCCCAACAAAAGCTCATTTTGAAGGAAATTATCTACAACTTTGTCTCTATAATCTCAAATCCAAAAGTACATCATTTGAGAGATATGATCCAATACATTATAGGTCATTTCAAAAGTCAACAGAAAGATACTTTTTGTCAAGGCGACTTACATCAAGATAAAGTCTCCAAATGCAAAAATGATAAAAAGAGAAATTGAAAAGGACATCTTGAGCTTTCCAAAATGTCCAATATAACCTTCAAAAGATTAAAATTGAGAGAGTTATAACCAGTGCAATTTGGGAAATTTTGAGAAAATGCATGAAGTGCAAAGTGAGCAAACTTGAAATTTTGAACTAGTGGGCCTAACTTTTGATGTTCAAACATGTTCACAATGTGTTAAAGGACCTCCAAATACATTCACATAATGATTTTTATTTCTTTTATTCGAATTTTTATTCATTTAAATGCAAATTAAATCAAATAAAATATGAAGCAATGATACAAGGTGCATGGGATTTTGATTTCAGTCACATGGAGGCCCAAGAACACATGATAAACATGCATAAATCGTATGAGCACATATATGGAAAAAATCTTTAAAAATAGAAGCTTGAAAACATGTTTGATTTTTGTATAATCTTGGCCATGATTGCATGATTTTATGTCATATTTGTTGACCTTTTACCTCCTCTATATAAGCACAACAAACACCAATGGCAAGGAGACGAAAACACTGCATCAAAACACACTCCTAAAATTCTCAAATTTTTAAAGAACTAGGGCAAAGAAAAACTCACATCTCCAGCCCTCATCAATCAATTCCAAACATCCAAACATATTCCTGACATTTCCATAAGTCCATCCATACCCTTGCTCGAGCCTGAAGCACGCCAGAACACCCTCGCTCAAGTACACCGGTTGGGTAAAACTTCGTGAATTCAAACTTTTAAACTATGTGATTTAAATGAATTTGCTGCATATATTCAAGCTCATATTGATGTTTAGAAGTGTTTTGACGTGTTACTTGTAAGGTATAGTGCAGGAATAAGAATTCACCATGGCTAGGGCATCGAGATCGGTTTCCTTCAAAACCCCAGCTACGTTCGTTTTTAGACCAAACTAATATGTCCATTGAAATCGCAGGACCTTAATTAGTCTATTAGGGTGGTTTTCCTTTTTGTTTTCCTCGAATTTCACAGGTTTTAGGTTTTTATGCAACCGGAGATGATGACCGAAACCACCGTCTAGGGTGGTTTGACCGGTGGATGATCGTGCGTGGCAGGATATGACATTTTGATTGGTTCATTCAAATACAGGGTCCCCACATAGGCGTGCGCTTTAAGTTGTTTGACTTTTGAGATTTGTTTTGTATTATAAACTAGTCGTTGCAATTTTATGAACGGATGTATGGCCACCCCAGTGGTAACGCGCTTGCTCTTAAGACCTTGCTATGCCTGAACCTGAGTTCGATCCTAGCACGAGATAAAACTTTTATATTTTGTGATTTTTGTTGATCCAGTACAAGCCAGCCTAGCGCGCTCATCATACGCCTCATGTCACCCTCAGATGTTCACAAGACTAGATCGAGTATTCCAGATCTCCATGTCCATGTTGGACTCTCATTGGAGAGTGACGCCGGATCCCATACAGGCCTATGGGCTTGTACGTTTGGGCCTAATGGATTTGCTTCTCATACCCCCTAGTTTTATTTCTTCAGACCCATCTCTCCATTTCTTTTTAATTATTTTATTCTAATTTCTTTTTTTTACATGATTAACTTTTTCTCTAATTAATTAAAATTAACTTAACTTAACTTTATTTTCAAATTAATTTAACTAATTAACTTAGTTACTTTAGGCTTTTATTATTAAACTTTTTTTCAATTAAATATAATTTAGGGTTTTATTTTAGGTTTTAATTAATTCCCTTTTCTCAATTAAAATCAATTAATCATTAGGATAAATCATCAATTATTTTCCATTAAACAATTTCTTCGTTTCTTTCCATAATCTTCGCGCTTTTCTTATTTTTGCATTAGTTTTCGCAATTATGTATATGCTAAAGAGTGTAATAGTTAATTATGTTTTTTTTCTATTTGCTTCTCCCAGTTTTTATGGATTGTACCCCCTCCCCGAAGCTTTGTAATAGCGTAGGATATTTAATTTCTGCAATTTACTTCTTTCCTTATTATTGAATAGTAATTAGGCTTATATCGTAAGATCTAAAACGAAACGCTAGATAACCTTAAATACAAGATAAAATAACTGAATCAAAACACTATTTACACACGCACCTCTAGGGTGACCCCACTTGTTGTCTTCAAATAAAACAGTCATGTCCCTCGAATGTGGGGACGCTTTAGCAAAGACCATTGGTTAAAAAGATCATAGTCCCTCGATGACCCTTCGATGCTGCCTTCGGTAAATGATCTTAGTCCCTTACGAAGTGCTAAAGCGCCCTATAAGTTGCCTTTATGATTATACGATGACTCGTGTATGTCCCTCACACATCCAACGATAGGGTTTCCTACTAACTAATGGTAGGACAACACTATCTAAAGGAAGATGAAAATAACACGAAAGACTTTTGAGTAGGTAGATAGCTCGTAGTCGCTTGCTCACAAACAAAAATATTTTTTCACATAAAACACTTCTTTTCTGAAATATTTTCAAAACAAACACTCTGTATGCGTTCTCAACGATACGAGAATCATTACAAAGTTTGCCGCACTTAGGATTTTTCAAAATATTTTCAAACACATTCACAAAGAATTTTCAAAAGTAAGTTAACGATTAAGAGCCCGTAGATAACTACGAGTGAAAAGGGTGCTAACACTTTTCCTTTTCATAACCTACTCCCCGAACTCAGAAAAATTCTCAAAGGTCTTTCCTGTTCTTTTCACCCTTTCCTTTATTGGATAAAAGAAAAGTCGGTGACGACTCTTGCTATCCGCAACATTTGTGATAAAATGCAAAACTAAAAGTCAGTTCTCCCACTGTATTACAGAACTGACGACTCTGCTAGGGATAACTAAAAATAGGGTTACCTTAGAGTTAGATCACATTTAAAATGTTTTACTTGCTTGATTTGTATGCTTTACATTTTGGGGTTTTGCCCGGGTTTATTTTTGTAAAGATCCTATATCTGGATCTGGGGGAATTTTAGGTAAGTAGTAATAGATTGTGAGAACTATACGACATAGACCGATATGGTTTAAGCGATGGTTATGTTAGTGCGACACATTGGTTGGTGTCGGTGCCCCTTCATAGTGCAATCTGGGGGCATTTTGAATTATATACAGGACATCTTAAGTTGGTTAAATGGATACCTAACTTAACAAGTGCCGAATGATTTTTGAATTTCAAACAATTTTTTAAATTTCAAACAACAATAGGTTTTGTTAAATCGATTTACCAGACCTGACTTAAAAAGTGCAGACAAATTTTTTAAAATTAGGTTTTTATGCCTTTGCTTCAAAGATCTGTATGTATGATTATTTGAAAATTTTAGAGATGATGATGAGTATTATATTTTGAGCATATAAAATTTATACATAATGAATTATAATTTAGCACCTTACCATCAAAATCAAGTTCCTTTACTTTCAAAATATCCATAAGCTTATGCATTCTTGTTTCTTGATTCCAAACTTTTTCTTCTTTGATATTTCTTCTTTGATAAGCTTTTGTCTTCATTAAAAGCAAGCTAAGAAGGATGAACATATATTCTTCACACTATGAAGTTATGAGAAATAATGAATGGACAGAGACTAAGAAAAGAAACTCAAGTCACTAAGAATAAATTTGGTTTTATGCTTGGGAGACTGACTACAGAGGCGATCTATCTAATACCACATGTGATGGAGAAGTATTATACGGACTAACAAGACTTGCAGTTAATTTTTATTAACTTGGAGATGGCGTATGACGAAGAGATTAGAAATATTTTGCGGAAATCCCTAGAGAAGATAGGAGTTAGGATTGCATATATTCGAGGTATCCAAGATATATATGAAGGGATATCGACTAGTGTGCGACCATGGAAGCAATTTATCGACTACGACGTGTGATGGAGCAGTATCGAATAGACCGATAAGACTTTCGCTTAATTTTTTTACTTGAAAAAAGCATATGACAGAGTGTCTAGAGAGATTATGTAAAAAAACCCTAGAGAAGAAAAGAGTCAGGATTTCATATATTTAACTATCCAAAATATGTATAAATGAGTATCGATTTCTCCATTATAATAGATTTTCATAATTTAAAATGTGACATTGTTTGGATTTATTTTTGGAGAGTATAACTATGTTAGGTGCGTTCAATTATGTCTCTTTTGCAAATAACATATTAACAAGGGTTCAATTTATAGGAAAATCAATAAAAAAAATAATTTGTCATAAAAGATAAATATTTAAATTTCTTTTTCATTGAATTCTTACGAGACATGACGAATTACATCTTGTGTGCACTACGCCAAAAACGAGTTTTGGCACCGCTACATAGACAGCGCTTATGCAAAAGCGCTGCTGTAGGTATCCAAAAAAAAAAACTTTAGACAACGCTTATTAAAAGCGCTGCTATAGGCCTTATCAAAGGCAGCACTTTTTCTCCCTAAGCGCTGGTATAGGGTTTTAAAAAAAATAAAAATTAAAAAATTAATAAAAGCGCTGCTAAAGGGTATGCTTTAGACAGCGCTTTCAAAAAGTGCTGCTAAAGGTGTAAGTCTAAAAGCGCTGCTAAAGGGGGGTAAACCTAAAGCGCTGCTAAAGGGGGGTACCTTTAGCAGCGCTTCTTGAAAGCACTGCCTTTGTGTAAATCTAAAAGCGCTGCTAAAGGTGGGGTAAGCCTAAAGCGCTGCTAAAGGGGGGTACCTTTAGCAGCGCTTCTTGAAAGTGCTGCCTTTGGTTTGTTAATTTATTTCTAAACCCCTAACCCCTAAATCAGATTTCCAGAAACACAAAATTAAACCCATATCGCTGTTCATCTTCTTCTCCATTCGTCTCCTCCCAAACTCCCCCTGTCTCACTCCATTACTCCCTTTGTTCCGTCATCTCTCCGATATAACTCCCTCCGGTAGTCATCCAACACCGCTTTTCCCCTGCAACTCGCCATCATTTCCCCTCCTCACCATAAACAAGCTTCTACCAAAACAACTTCATTCAACCGTTCCATCTTTCTTTTTTCAACTCACCACCGATTCACGCTCCTTCATCATCTGCTTATCCAATCCGCAACTTTTCTGCCTCCAAGACCACCAAACAGAACTGTAACACCTCCACACTTCTATATCCGCACTACCGGCTACTCCACAACCACCAACCAGACAGTTTCTCGTCAACCAACAATCGCGCACCTCTCAACAACTGCACCACACCCAACTCACCAATCTGACCATCAATTCATCTGCACCAAGCCTCCGCTACCCGACACCGCCAGATCCACGACACCATCCTCTGACCATACGCTTTGCCACGGTTTCAGTCGGTAATATATTTGTCTTGGATTTTTGTATGATACTTGTGGTTTAGAAATATGAACCATTTTTATGTATCCTTGCAATTTTCATTTTTTTTATTTGGGTCTAGTTTACTCAAAATTGAAAAGGGGGTGGTGTTGTTCTTCGAGAGAGAAAGAACAAATCTCCAGGCCAAGCATTTCCATTAGGTGTATCACAAGTCGACAACGGGATCAACTTTGCTATATTTTCACAACATGCAACTGTTGTCGCACTTTGTTTGGTCCTTCCTGAAAGGTAAATTTAGATTTAGTTTTGTGTTTCGGTTTAAGCTTAATAAAATTTATATGTTTGAAATACATCTGGCATATTTGATTTAAGCCACATACAAGCATTTTTGTGACAAACCTTTAATTTCTAAAACTTGTTGGGGAACACTTTTTGTGTGTGACAAAAACCATCATTTTCCCCCTATTACAAATGGTCTCACTAGAAGCTTCTGAAAGTAAGCTGAACCAAACATGAAACTAACCTTATCTGTGCTCCCCTCAATGATTTGTCAATGTATATTTGCTCAAAACTGTTATATGTCAAGAGATAGATCTTGATTATTAAGGATTGAAATTTTTGCTTTGATTTGTCAAGAGATAGATCTTTGATTTGTAAATTTATATTTGTTTTTATAATGTATTTTAGGGAAAGCATTGATACACTGGATGGTGGTATGATAGAACTGGCTTTGGACCCTCATTTAAACAAAACAGGGGATGTTTGGCACATATGTATTGAGGTGCTTTCTGTGATACTGCTTGTGCCTGATTATAGCCTTTCAATGGTTTTTGATTGAAATTGTTGCTATATGCTTTGTAGCTTACTTAAAAAAAATACAATTTGTGCAAATATCAAGTACCTTTCATAATTGCATAGATAAATAACATTTTTTTCTGTCTATTTGAGTATAAATTTTGTATATTTTATGCTTTATTTCAAGTGCATTATTCTTGTGCCAAAAACTTCTCTTGGCTAGTCAAATGTGAATTCTATTTGCCTTTACTCTTATATGTTCTGACAATAGTGGATGGAAGTATGTGAGATGTCTTTGAGTTGAATACCGATGCACCTCATTAAAAGCTTTGAAAGTAGTTGGAATCAAACTTCATGCAGTCTTACTATAATGATTATATAGATAAAATTTTCCATTTTAAATTTGATGAGATTTTTTCTCACCTTTATGATATTAAGAAGAAACTTACATGGGTAAGGAAATACATTGAAGAAGACATTGCGTATTAAAATTGGAAAACATCAATTACTGTAATAGCATCTTCCGTTGTCGAAGATATCTTTACCTGAACTGTTGTTAGTTTACCTTGCACAAATTCTAGATAATGCTGTTATATTTTAGAGGCTGATGTTGATGCCTGTTGAGCTACAAGCTCGTTGGCTCCATATTTTCATTTCTTCCATTTTATGCAAGTTCAATATTGCTCCGATTATGCAGAGTTAGTGCATATTTCTGTTACAAAGCTCCCTAAACTCCTCTCCTCCCAAATGTGAGTGTACGGCTCGCTTGTATATGATCATTTCTCCCCTAGTTAATTCAGTTAGTTACAGCAGTGACAACTGTTGCATGCTGAATGTATTTGTTTATTAGTGTTAGCCCGGTCTATAAATATAGATCCGAGGCTCATCACATGTAACAAGAATTCGTTTGGTCATTAATCAATAAAATGAATTCTCAGGTTCTCTCTAATTCAAACACCGAACAACTATTCAAAATGCACATTTAGACATTTAGTTAATATATTGTTTTCACCTCTCATTGTGCAGGATCTTCCTGGGAGAAATGTTTTGTACGGGTATCGAATAGATGGATCTCAAGACTGGGGTAAGGGGCATCTGTTTGACAGAAGCATTGTGCTTGTTGATCCTTATGCAAAACTAGTTGAAGGTCGTAGATATTTTGGGGATATTAGCAAGAAGTTGTCTAAGTTTCTGGGCACATATGAGTTTGACAGCTTGCCTTTTGACTGGGGAGAGAATTATAAGCTTCCAAATATTGCCGAGGTATTCAGCCTGCATAAATGATAGTTGTTCGAAAATGATATTCATAAAATCTTTTCTCTAAACCAAGGCTTCATCTAAATTGCTTTATGCTTAAAACTATATGTAGATTTTGTATTCTACCTTGATGTTGATCTCTAGTGTTTCTTTTCCTTTTTAGTTGATGAGAATATGACTGCGTATTGTATGTTTCTAGATGAAGTAAGTCCAATTTATGGATTCATTATGCTCTTGCTGCAAATGCAGAAAGATCTTGTTATATATGAGATGAATGTTCGTGCATTTACAATGGATGAATCTAGTGGATTGGATAACAACATTCGTGGAAGCTATCTTGGTGTGATTGAGAAGGTAACATCTTTGCTATCATTGGGTATTCAACTTAATAAGGTGTATCGATGTTTAGTGGTTGCATGCCACCTCCAACTTTAGGAACTATATTTGTGCTGTTTATTAATTACTATATGATTGGTGCTTACTATTTATTGTATGTCTTTATTTAAACTCATTTTGTTGCTTGCATATAAGATCCCACATCTTCTAGAGCTTGGTATCAATGCAGTGGAGTTGCTGCCTATCTTTGAGTTTGATGAGTTGGAATTGCAAAGGCGTCCGAATCCTAGAGATCACATGGTAAATTAGAAAAGTATTATATTCTATTTTGAAGTCAAGGCTTCATAACGGACTTTTTTAGTGTGTACTGTATATCCCCAGTAAATAAAGGAATGGATCTTCTGCATTTCTCATTCTATCAATTTTCTCCATTACTATGGTATTGGGATTATTGAATAAAGCATGATAATGTGATATTAGACGAGCTTGAAATTTCCCCTATACACCCCAAAACTATAGAAAGGAGAAATATAGAGGATCCATTCCTAATAAACAAATATATAAAAACAATTGTATTCTTTCTGGCTGTATATCCATATCTATTTTTCTTTGATGAATGAAGAGATCAGAGTATGTAATGTGTATTTTTATTTGATGATCAAAGAGATCAGAGTATGTAACTTTTACTTGCTAAGTGGCATTATATGATAGTAACATCTGTATTTTTGCTTTCCAAGATTAATACGTGGGGTTATTCAACAATAAATTTCTTTGCTCATATGAGTCGCTATGCTAGTGCTGGAGGAGGACCAGTTAATGCTTCCCAAGAGTTCAAGCAAATGGTTAAAGCCTTACATTCTGCTAGCATAGAGGTAATTATAGTAGTATTTCATTGTAGCAACCTTTGAGTGGAAACATGCTTAATATTTTGATAGCCTGATTCTGTCTTATTTTAAATCATTTCAAGATTTGTATATCTCTTGCAATAAATCTTATTCATACATAGGTTATTTTGGATGTTGTCTACAATCATACTAATGAGGCTGATGATCCCAATCCTTACACTACTTCATTTCGTGGCATAGATAATAAGGTAATTTCTTATTTGTAACTTTATGGCTGCTACATCATATGCCTCTGCTGCCTCTTCTTGAGTGCCTACAGAAAAGATTCATTCATTATTATGATGTCTCATCACATATATATTTGCATATATACTTTTAGAACTCATAATTCTAAGACATGAAATATGGATGATTGGACATGTATACAAAAGAAATTATAGGTATAAGAACTAGGTGCATGTGTCTATTATAATCAAAGATTCCATTTTCAGGTATAATTAATTTTGTGGTATATTGAAGAGGTTGAAATATAACAATGGTGCTGAAGAAAATAGAATAATTGATTGCAGAGAGATGAGAGATTTCTGAGATTTCTTGGATGATTTTCCAGATTGAAAAATGGTGTGTATGGTTGAAGAGAGCAAAGGGACTTTTCAAAGAAAGTGAAGAGAAGATTGAAATTGTATGGTTGAAGGTTAAAGGTGGAAGAGAAAGAGAGATGAGAGTTTTCTGGTTTTGTGTGGTGATTCTTCAGCAGATTGAAGAATGAATTGATTTTAGGTGATTTTTTTGTTATATAGTTAGTTAGAGATTAGAAAGTTAGTTATGAATGAATTGAATTAAGTGTGGACTGTTTTATTCTGGTATGAAAGTATGAAATGCTAACTGGATTTTCGTTGTTCATTTTTCTACATGGCTGAAATGATGAGCTGGTTCAAGGTTCAATTTTTGTTTTTGTGAATTGTTTCCAACTATTTTTTTGATCTGGATTTTTGTTGGACTGATATGGATTAAAGCAAGTCTGACTGGTTCAATTTGGAAAGTTTGGATGCAGGTTAAATTATTTTATTGAAAACTGGTTTGAATTATGGAATGTATGAGGATGATTTGGGATATGTAAATGGCGTTTGTTACAGGTTCTGGTAGGTTCAATTTGTGATGTTGATGATGGTTTCGCTGCAGGAGGGTATGAATGGATTTGGATGTGGCATAAAAGTTGCATACTAAAAGATCACGATGTTTTTGATACTTGGCCTTGAAGATGATAATTTGAAGATGAAGAAGCCTGGGAATGAAGGATGAAGTTATCGAGACCAAAGGCTTGGTCTTGAAGCAAACTTGAAGAGACTTTTTTAGAATTAGGTCTAGAACCAAATCTTTGTATAATTTTCCTTGAAATTTGTAAAGGATGACTTTTCTTGCGTTGATGTATTGGTGCCTTTGAATTTGGAGCGTCCTTGCATTTTGTACACTTTGTAATTAATGGTAAAAAACTCCAAGTATTCAAGCCAACTTTCTTCTCCAAATTGCATACTCCTTTCTTTGATCTTGAAGTATCATTGATAGAATGATGATGAATATTGTGGACTTTGATGATGAATGTATTTGAAATTTAGCTTCACAATTCGAACTTGAATGATGATGAATAATGTTGAATAGCAATTGAACTTAAATTTAAATAAAAAAAAGGAAAAGCGCTGCTAAAGGGGGGGGGGGGGTAATAGACAGCGCTTTTCATGAAAGCGCTGTCTAAAGTGATTGAAAAAAAAAATTTAAAAATAAGGAAAAGCGCTGCTAAAGGGGGGGGGGGGTAATAGACAGCGCTTTTCATGAAAGCGCTGTCTAAAGTGATTGAAAAAAAATTAAAAAAAAAGAGGAAAAGCGTTGCTAAAGGGGGGTAATAGACAACACTTTTCATGAAAAGCGCTGTCTAAAGTGATTGAAAAAAAAAATTTAAAAATGAGGAAAAGCGCTGCTAAAGGGGGGTAATAGACAGCGCTTTTACCAAGCGCTGTCTAAAGTGATTGAAAAAAAAGTGCTGTCTATACCTTTAGCAGCGGAGGTTTTAGCAGCGCTTTTAAGTGTTGTTAAAGGCCTAAGAAAGCGCTGTCTAATCCCTTGTTTGGCATAGTGGTGCAAAAACCTTCTTATTAAATTAGATTGATCATAGATGTTGTCTGAATAACATTAGCTCTACCAAGTCCACACGACCATAATTTAAAAGGAAACAATTTTTAGTCTATAATGCTAATTAAATTATAATATAAGTAATTTAAAAAACTAAATTGTTTTATATTATAAATCATTTTTCAAAATGATAAAATATCAGTATTTATTTTTCTATTACATTATCTGCTATTTAATATTATATTTGTTGTCTTAAATTATAAATGATTATTCAAAAACAATAAAATTTAAATATTTTTTCTATGATATTATTTGTTATTTAATACTATATTTATTATCTTAAATTATAAATCATTTTTCAAAAATAATAAAATATAAATATTTATTTCTATGATACTATTTTGCTATTTATTACTATCCTTTGTTTTAAATTATAAATCATTTTCAAAAACAATAAAATGTAAATAAATATTTTTGTATAATATTATTTGGTATTTATTATTATCTCTGTGTCTTAAATTGTTAATAATTTTGCAAAGAAAATAAAAAGTGTCAATATATATCACCTAACAATAAAAATAAAATATTAATAAAAAATTCTGATTACTTTTTATTACTCTCTATCTTCTTCTAAATCTTTTAAATAAAGTAATATAATAATTTATGATTCTCAATACAAGATTAAGTAAAATAATTTAATTGGTATGAAAAGAGCAAAATTTATAATATGGATTGTAAGTGATAATATATTTTTGATAGAAAGTAAGTATATTTATAAATTTGTGTTAAAATAAAAATGTTTTGAATGGGAAGAAATAAATAGTTTTATTAAGTGCAATAGTAACTGAAAGGAAGGCATAATTAAGAAACATGAGGAATTTGAAGGTGAAAAAAATTAGTAATCCAATTAGTAGTTAGAATTATGAATATGTAATGTAGAAAGACATAAACAGTATCTGAAACTAAAAAATTCATTTATAGCTTAATTATTAGGTTTGATAAACGATCATGTGAAGAACAAAGCGAATTTTGAACATCAAGTCGTTGTAGTATAGTGGTAAGTATTCCCGCCTGTCACGCGGGTGACCCGGGTTCGATCCCCGGCAACGGCGCGTTTTTCTTTTTATTTTCGTTTCTTTTACCAATTTTTGTTGGGCTTTCTGTTTTGTGGTTTGGGCGGTCCCTTATCAAGTATTGACAACCCTTTAGTCTTCTATTGCACCCCTCTAACTCTAAGCATGGATGGATTAATGAGATTTTTCCTATTTCAATAATATCATATTCTTTTCATGTTACCAAATACAATCACTCATTTTCTAACCAAACAACTCAATGCTTTTAATTAACTTTTTTTGCCATGTAGAAATTTATTTATTTTAAGGTATACAACTTTGTGTATATAAATATACTACAATAATATTAATAGTGTAATAATTCTAGGTAATAATTTTAAGGTATACAACTTTATATATATATATATATATATATATATATATATATATATATATATATATATATATATATATATATATATATATATATATATATATATATATATATATATATATATATATATATATATATATATATATATATATATATATATATATATATATATATATATATATATATATATATATATATATATATATATATATATATATATATATATATATATATATATATATATATATATATATATATATATATATATATATATATATATATATATATATATATATATATATATATATATATATATATATATATATATATATATATATATATATTTATATCTTATTTTATGATTATTTTTATTATTCACTCAAAACTTCCGCAAACCCTAAATTCCACCTTTTAAAACATGTTACGATTGTTTTGTTCAAACACAATAATTCATGTGGAGAGGAATTGTTACTTCTCTAGTTTTAGGATTGATGTTAATTTTAGTAAAATAAATATAGCAGCAATATGTTAAATATGATGTATTAACTTGTTGAGAAGAACCGGTTGAACAAGAAGTCATAGTTTATGGAGAAACATGTTGAGATGAAATGTTTCATCATCTGGAGCAACATGTCAAACAAGATGTCTCATGCATAGTCATTCGATATCGTGACTGGTTTGGACTGGATTGTTGGATCAGTTTAAGATTTAACAGATGTAAAATATTTTGGAAATGTTATGTTATCATATGTGGTGTTGATCTTAATGTCTGGAAGATTTAAGCTGAGATCAAGAAGAATATTGACTTTCTAATTATGGAGATAAATTAGGAAAGTCATGATTGAAGACCTATGTTTATGCAAAAGATTTTGCAGTTTTTTAGCAACTGATATGTTATAATTTGAAGCCCAAGTCCAGTTGGGAAAGAAGTTATAAATATAAGGATATTAACCTTAAAAAAGGTACCAACCAAAGATGCAAAGTTTAGATTATTAGGGATGAGTTTGTAAGCCACTCTCTAGGAGAGTGTCAGAATTCGCTCGTGCGAAGCGTTGAGGGGGTGTAGTCATGGAAGTGACCGGCTGGCCCCCTGTAGTCTTTAGAATCACGGGATTTGTCCTCCCTTTTCTTTTCTCCTTTCCGACGGGACGTCGAGGGCTCTCGCGTTGTTAGTAGCCTTTTTCTCCTCGTACTGGATGTACTTTTGTGCTTTGAGTAGAAGGGAATCCAACATTGTAGGAGTCTCTATGCCAACCGCTTTGGCGAAGTCACTGCGAGGGCACATGCCTTGCTCAAGGAGATATTTTTTCATTCCGTGAGTCGTGGGGACTTGGACGGCTTCCTGGTTGAACCTTTCAATGTATGCTCTAAGGGACTCATCCTTCCCCTGGATGATGGCCTCGAGCACAACTTCTGACTTGGGATATCGGCTAAATGCCATGAAATGTCTTGATAATTGTCTCCCTAAGCCGCTCCAAGAGGTAATGAATTCATCAGGGGGCTTTTATACCAAGCCATGTCTCCTTTCCTAAGTGTCATTGGGAAGAGTCGACATTTGATTTCTCCTTGACAGCCTCTGTAGTGGAGCAGTGTATCGATGTTTTCGACGTGCTCGTCCGGATCTGTCGTGCCATCGTACGTCCCTAAGTGTGGGGGTTTCTCCAGACCGATAAGAAGTGGGGTCTCCATGATCTCTCTGGATAACGGACTGTGGGGCTCTTCGTCATTGCTGTGATCAAGAGACGCTAGCGGGGAGTAGTTGTTTTTTCCTCGTCGGGGAGAGGTGTTTCTTGGATGCTGCCTTGGCTTGGGTAATGGAGAATGGTTACGATCAAGCCTCTGGTTGCTCTTGGTCTTCTTGGTGATTGGGGAGCGTCAATCTCTCCAGGGAGGTGTGTGACCTCATTTCTTGAGGAAAGACACTTCTTGCCTCTCTCGTACGGAAAGACGGCCACACCTTGGTGGTGATGGACTGCGGGAGTGATAAAGTCAGTATCTCTGAGGAGGAGACTTTGATTGCTTCTTCTCTCATGACCCACTCCTCTTGCTCTGTTATAGGATTAACGTTTTGGTTTGATTGAGGACAGCGAGAAGTGTTGCCATGGCTGGATCAGAATTCAGTGGGATAGGTACTGGATGGAGGATTTTTAGAAGTTCCTCATTAGGGTTCTTGGACCTCTGACCGTCCAAGAACTGGAGGTTGTCGCATTCAACATCGACCAAATATGGGGATGTTGTTCGTCTATACCTGATGTCGGGGACATCTTTTAGACGAGGATGCTCTTGGCTTCTGGTTGTCTTATAGACGGGAGAGAGTACAGACTTTCCAGAAAGGTGGTGGTCATCATGGTTGGCCATGACATAAGTAGTGAAAGTATCTTTGGTCTTCAGTTTTGAGGAAAAAGAAAATGGGGAAGATAGTTTCCCACAAACAAAACCGCTGATCTTACCGATTGATCAGAACCTAAAAGTGGGCCGAAGGGTGATGACATATGCTTGGATGGAAATATGAGAAGAGGAGGGGGTGTACCTGCAAGGAACTCTGACGTTCTAGTGATAAAGAGTGGAAAGAGATACAAGAAAGAGATTAGGGTTTTTAGAATGAATATTGGATACCTGGCCCTCACGAGTGTGGGGATTTATATAATGCCCCCGACGTGTAGTCATTGTGTGATACGGTGGCAGA